TTGGACCCAAAAAGATAATGTCTCCAAACCTTCAACACAAACACCATAGTGGCCAACTTTAAGTCATGCGTAGGATAATTCCTTTCATGAACCTTCAGTTGTCTGGAAGCATAAGCAACGACTTGACCATTCTGCATCAGCACGCCACCAAGGCCCATCTTTGATGCATCACAATACACTACAAAAGACTCACTCGGATTTGGCAAGATCAACACTAGAGCAGTCGTCAACTTCTTCTTGAGTTATATAAAACTCCTCTCACATGCAACATCCCACACATAAGCTTGACCCTTTCGAGTCAACTGAGTCAATGGCAACGCCAACTTTGAAAAGTCTTTTATAAACCTATGATAATAACCAGCCAACCCAAGGAAACTTTGAATCCTAGTAGCAGACTTCGGAGTGTCCCACTGCAACACATCATCAACTTTGGACAGATCAACAACAATCCCTCCACTAGAAATCACATGGCCAAGGAAACTCACTTCCTTCAACCAAAACTCACACTTGGACAACTTGGCATAAAGCTTCTTGTCCCTTAAAACATGCAATACAACTCTTAGATGTTGTGCATGTTCTTCCTCGGACTTCGAATATATCAAGATATCATCGATGCATGCTACCAAAAATTGATCCAAATAAGGATGAAAGATCCTATTCATATACTCCATCAATACACGAGGTGCATTAGATACACTAAACGATATCACCGTATATTCATAATGACCATACCTTGTCCTGAAAGCTGTCTTCGGAATATCATCAGACTTAACGCGAATCTGATGATAACCAGACCTCAAATCAATCTTACTAAACATACAAACACCCACCAATTGATCCATCAGATCGTCAATCCTCGAAAGTGGATACTTATTCTTGATCGTCACTTTATTCAAGTGTCGATAATCCATACACAATCTCATGCTACCGTCTTTCTTCCTCACCAACAACACATGAGCACCCCACGGAGAAACACTCGGTCCAATAAACTTCTTCTCAAGCAACTCTTCCAATTGTTTATTCAATTTTCCCAACTCAAATGCAGACATCCGATAAGGAGCCATCGACATAGGACTAGTGTCCGGTATCACATCTACAATAAACTCTACCTCACGCTCAGGAGGTAAGTCACTTACGTCGTATGGAAACACTTTTGGAAATTCCCGAACAACTGGTAGCTCCACGCTCACTGCTTCATAATCAACTTGAAGTGATGCAAACAATACAAACATCTGAGCCTCATCTTCTAAGAGTTCTTCTACTTGCTTAGCAAATACAAACATCAGCTCTCCATAATCACCAAACTCTGGGAACCTCAGAGTCTTGCTGTAGCAATCGATATGAACATAGTTAAACTCCAACCAGTTCATTCCAAGAATAACATTAATTCAATGTAAAGGTAGACAGTTCAAGTCTATCACAAAATTCTTATCATAAATAGTCAAAGGGCATCTCAAACAGACTAACACAGTAGTCACATAACCATTAGTCGGGGTATCGATAACCATACTCCCAACCATAGAAGATAATTTCAAATTCAATCTCGCAACACATTCAAGCGAAATAAACGAATGGGTAGCACCAATATCATGTGTTTGAGCAACAGTCTTGTCTCATTGGGATTCAAGCAACAAGTCTTGAGTCAAGATGCTTAAGCCACGTAAGTCTCATTGCTTAAGTGTTTAAGATGTGAAAGTCTTATTCAGTTAGTATGATTGAGCAAGGAAAATTCTATGTCTGAGGGGCGTTAGCAGGAAGTCTCAATCTGGATTTCTAGAAGATCAGGTGGTTGTTTACTATGAAATTTGGTAAACAACCTCTGATCTATCAACTTTGGGTGAAATTGAGTAACTTGCAGGATCGACCACACAAATCCTAGGACATGTGCTAAGTTTGAAAGAAAATCTAAATTGAACTCCACGTTCGACTATGAAACTTTGTAAAGTAAAAGACAACTTGGAAATTGACAAGGCTGTAAAATAAAGGGTGCAATTCTTAAAGCATCGAAAGTAAAAGACAAGATGTAAAAGACTTTGAAAATGAAGGCAATAATGTCAAGGACGTCGAAAGTAAAGGCAACAATGTAAAATACTTGAATTTGATAAAAGTGCAAGAAAGTAAGTGTATAAGACGTCGAAAGTAAAGACAACAATGTAAAAGACTTGAATTTGATAAAAGTGCAAGAAAGTAAGCGTGAAGACAAATATTTAGCAAAATGCATAAAAGTAACAGTCGAAAGCAATTAAAAAGACTTTTAAATAGCAAGTTAAAATAAAGTGCAGAAGGAAATCAACTGAAAGTAAAAACTAAAAATAAAGTTTCAAATAAGAACATGTAAATAAGAAAGATAAAGTTCAGGAAAAAACATTTAATCAGGAAAGATAAAGTTTAAAGTAGAACATGCAAGATAAAGTGCAGAATAAACAACAACACATGAATAATAAAGATACATAAATTGCATTGATGAAAAGAAATGGTGTTACATCACGTACATTCTCTCGAACTCATTTCTCTACACGCGGGTACTTTGAGTAATTTGGAGTAACTTGTACAAGACAAATGAACACCCTTATTCTATGAAAATAACCCCTATTTATAATGCTAGAAAATAACTACTAAGTGACGGTTGTTGCTTCAAAACATGTCTTTTGGCGCTTTTTCTTGACTTCCACCGTTCCCACGTTCGCTAACTGCCCTTTTGAAATTCAAATATTAGGAATTTCCCTCTAGCCTTAGAGGTAACTGCAACGCGCTTCTTTCAGCATTCTCCCCGTCGAAGGACTTTCCAATACTTAGCAATTTTTCTAGAGGTTACAACCTCTCTTCGACTCAGGCTTCACAAAATATGGTTCGAAGCCTTCTTATGCTTTAAAGATAATATTTTGACTTGAGATGACTCTGATTTTGCTGGCGTAAAAAATGAGAGCCAACGGTGACTCGGTCAGAGGATGCGAGCAAAAAGTCTTAGACATGTGCTATAAGCAAGGGTAAGTCTCAACCGGAAGACCTTTGGAGCAATTGACTTGGTTAGAGGGTGTGAGCAAGGAAAGTCTTAGGCATGTGCTCTAAGCAAGAAAGTCTCAGACAATTGGTCTGAGCAAGTGTAAAAGACTTATGCAGAAGCATAAGCGATTGTAATCATGAAGTGATTATAATGAAAATCTCTTGTGAGGCAAGGCGATTTGAGTACTCTCAGTTAAGCGAAGAATCAGGATAAATCTTTTGTGTCTTCTGTTGTTATTTGTTTACTTCTGTTATATCCGTTCACAATGAATTAAAACAAAATCTAAATACTAGTTCTGATTCAGAAACTCTGATCAGAAGTTAAATTAAAGAAAACGCGTTAATTGGGCTAGAAACAACAGGTGTCTGCGACGCTCAGGCTTTTTTCCTTCGAACTGATGCATGTTGCGCAACTCATTTGTGCTTCAATCTATTTTTCTTATTAGTCATAAGGCATATAAGTAAACAACACAAGCATTACACAAATGAAATATAATGAGATCAAGTCAAACAATGTAGACTGATAAATTTCGGAGATGCATATCTGGATTTTAGAAATCAAAATGTTGTAAATTTTCAGAGATGCGTCTCCGTAAAATACTACAACTCAGATGAATAATAATGGCAGAAATGCAGTCTATTCCAACATCCAAAATAATGCATTGATCATTTTAACTACCTATCAAACACATTCCTCGTTTAAATAACGTATCGAAACTACCTATTACATCCTAATGCTCAATTTCTACAAATGTATATAAAAATAGAAAAATTATAGAAAATAAAAAATTTACTAAATGTGAATTTAATTTAATGTTGAGTGAACTCTTTGATCGATTGGATGTTGATAGCAAAAATTTTGAAGTGAGTTGAATGAGCTTAAGAGAATGTGAGGTGAGAGAGTTTGAAATTTGAGAAGTTTTGAGAGTTGAGTTTTGAAAGAGTATTGTGAGAAGTAAGGAAGAAGAGTCTGACGTATTTTTTTTATTAAACCAGTGTCTAGAGATGTATTTCCATAAATTACACGAAGATGTATTTCTGTAATTATTTTTGGCATAATATTAGGATCTAATTAAAAAATAAACAAGTTGTAGAATCTATAAATAGCTTTGATTTTTTCACCTGGTACGTTAAGCAATTCCCAAAAAATTATAGTCTCACTTTATATAACTTTTGCCTATATACAAGTTGTAAGTAGGATTCGTAGGGGTACCTTAACGGGAGATAAGTTTTTATGATGGGAGATGACATGTGTAATGCTGCTACCGTTAATTCGGCCAAGGCCGGGGCTATTGTTTTCAAGTCTTGCAACTCATAAGTATGTCTTCGACCCCAGTCATATAGTGCAATCAGATATAGTTCGTTCAATTGAATATAACTTGACTTTTGAAGCTTTGTCTAAAGAGTGGCAGGTTCAAAGCATAAAGGTCAAGAGGATAGAAGATCCCTTTAGTAAAAGTGATTTAGGGAGGACTGAGGATTGTCGAATGAGAGTGTTACATGGAAGCTCGAGAAGAATATGAGGATCATATCTTAATTATTTACTGAAGTTAGTCAAGTTCCGAAGACAATTTCTTTAAACACGATTGAGTGAAACATTTCAAATTTTTAGTATTTTTGTTCTTGACTCTTACTTTCCCTATGTATTTGCAAGGAAGTAAATTAGGAGATTATCAAAAAGATGATAACAAATTTCTTTAGAAAGGGGTTGAAACATATTCATAAATGCTTAAAAAGAAGATAGAGCATCGGTCCAGGCAAAAGGCATGACTAGAGACTCAAATGACTATTGTGAGTTTAAGTGCAGTTTTAAGTTCCTCAACTTTAGCATTGAGGAATTGGTGGTGGCAAAACCTCAAGTTTCCACAAATAATTAAAGGAGCACGTCTACCTCAGAGAACTGAGGAAGGCTCGAAAAGAATCACAAATCTATGCAGATATATGAAACCGAGGATGTCTCGAAAAGAAATAGTGGATGTCTCAAGAGCAGATTCATCCTATAAACTCTCTAATAGAGCAGTGGCTTTTTCTTGCAAAATCTGCCACGCAGCTTTGACGTGCCTCACTTCTGTCAACGGTGCTCCTACTGCAAAACGTAGAATGTACTCACCTGATAGAGCCTGTGCATATTGTTTATCATCAACGGGGAAGATCACATTACATAGATAATAAAGAAAACAAAACCCTGAACTTAATTTATGCATACCGTATGTGTTATGAAAACACCTCCTGTTGAGTTTACTAAGTCGAGTAGATCACGGTTCAGTTTATTGCCATTATCTTCAGAGTTTCGGGGAGGCAAAAGCCGAAAGCAAACTAAAGAGAATGTTCGAGGCGCAACAACCTGTGTATATAAGTTTGTTGCAAATGATTCATAAGACAGTAAGTAGTTAAGACATGAATTATTTGGAAATGCATGTTTTGACTTCAAAACAAATAATGTAGAGCACAACTCTGATACCAGATTGCAGTTTTTCATATGTTGCATAATAGAATTTGCCTTAGAGTGAAGAATACCTTGAATCTTGTGTCTTGAACAACAAGTTCCTCAAAATAAGCTGCCATTGCAATATGGTTTCTTATGTGAGTTTGCAGGCCTTCCAATCCATAGAGTCGCAACACCATCCAAAGTTTTAATGATCTAGATCAAATCAAAATGGATCGAGAGTTCCAATGCATGAATAATACTTATAAAAACATGTATATCTTTTAATATCCAAAGGAAAAGTTTGAAAGACACACCTAAAGCGACGCCCAAGAGGAATTTGCCAGTCTTTGTAATCTATAACCGTGTTTCCTTCAGAGGCCTGAAAATTCAATATCATAAGCACACAGTTAGACAAGGACTGAGCTGCAAAGTTCTTTAAACTGAAAGAACCAACTTATATATTTAAGGTGAAACACAACTACCACAACATTCCTGACAATGGAGTGTGGCTTAACTTTAACAGCAATAAAAGAAAATTTTCAGAAGTTTAGAAACATAATAAAAGCTCCACACCCGAACACAGTAAAAAAAACACTAAAGTGATTAAGAAGTTTGAAAATCCATCACAGCAAAATTTAAATACTACAAGCATGTAAAGAGAAACCTACCTTATTTTTCAGAAATTCGGGATTTGTAGACAGCGACTGAATCAGAGCACTCCTCTCCTGTACCAGCATATCATCAATCTGACTTATTTTCATTCTTGTTTATAAAGAAAAGTAGAAATATTTCAAATAAAATTTCAGAAGGGACATTGAGAAAGAGTTATGGATACCTTAACCCAAAGTAGGGAACAATCAAAGTTAGTAAGGAACCATTTATGTGCATTCATGTTAAATGAATCAACTTCTTCAACCCCATCAATGAAGTGGCGGTATTCTGGACATATACAAGCACTTCCAGCATAAGCTGCATCCACATGAAACCAAATGTTGTTGGTCTGCCAATAAGACACCCATAACCAAGTGTTATCAGATTGTATCACTCTCCAAGATGCATGTAGCATAAACAGCATTATCAATTAAATCAAATCCATTACCCTTGTGACTTTCGCCAATGCAGGTAGAGGATCAACAGCTGTTGATGAAGTAGTACCAACCTGCATGCATAAATATAGTGTATGCAGTCAATGTGAAAACGTAATAGCTGAAACAACTTGATGTGAATATTTAGATACATTTCCATTCATCAACAAGAAATACAGAATGAGTATTAGTACAGATCATAGAGTCACGGTTGGTGAAATTTTCCATGTTTATCATCCATTTATTCAATCTTCAGATTTAACTTCTACTATACATAAAAACCATCATGAGACTAAGGCTGTTATTGGAATGAAACATGTGTACCAGCAACAAACAATGAAGAACAAAGCTCTTTTAACAGCACGAAGAAGGATATATTATCCATTGACCCAATGACTGGATAGGCTGATCACTTTCTCATTTGCATACCCAACATACTAGTAAGATAAAGGAACGCGCACACACACTGAAACAAAACTGGACAATTAATTATGTAATGCATGGCAGAGTAATTTATTACAAGCTAATATAAGAAGACTTTAACCTTACGTTAGCGCATAAGAAAAAAGGTATAAGACCACTGGCAATGTCATTTGAAATTGCTTCTGAAAGTACATCAGGGGCAAGCGCAAAATTTGTGGAAGAATCGGTTTTAAGCAACCTACAAAGCTGTGGATCAATTCCTCCTATCTGCCAATGAAAAGCAAAGATAATTTAATTTATAATTAATCAGTAAAATGATTTCTTTTATAATAATGCAACCTTAAAAGATGCAACCAAGCAACACAAAGAAATAAATCTTTTCCAAAGTTCAAGATTCAAGGTTCAAATCTAAGACTCATGCCATGAGTATAAGAAGTGTCAATGAGCTAAACCTTCCGGATCAAAGAGACCTTGACACTACATATCCACCCAAAACCATAAGACAATGGGAGTATGGGTCACCTCTCTTATATACCAAACATTTTCTCCATTTCTAGTTGATGTAGGACTTAACCACTTACACTTGAATCCCAATAATAGATCAGAAGACATTTTCAATTGAAGTGTCACTAATCATACCTGGCAAGCTTTTTGTAAAGAGGAGTGTGTTTGGTCAGATCCATATGCTACAAGCTTAGGAAGGGCAGTTCTTCCAAGTGTCCGAAGGATCTTGTCACGGGCAGCCAACAATACAACAAGCACAGCTTCACTAGCTGTACCCTGTATAACTCCACCCCCTTGCCCTGTAATATAACCACATCCATGATTCACATGTTTACATTACATATCACAGTATTATATGATATCTACTACAGACTTACCAGTTGAAAAGAAATGATGAGGCAGAAGGAGAGCCTTGGCTAGCCAGTCGAGAACAATGGTCTCGAGTTCAGTTGCAGCGGGAGAAGATATCCAGCTGAAACCGACAATATTGAGAGCAGCACTAAGCATCTCTCCTAAAAAACCAGCAATGCTGCTATTGGCAGGAAAATATGCAAAATAATTAGGACTTTGCCAATGCGTCACCCCCGGTAGTATCTTTTCCTGTACATCTACAACAAGAAACAGAAAACACTTTCAGTGTCATCTTAAAAAAAATGAAAAATAATAACGCAAGAAGTAAAGTAAAGAAACCATTCAAAACATGTTGCAATGATTCGGGATAAGTAGGAGCAGAATCTGGTAGAAGCTTTCCAAGATAACCTGGCTGCAATGAGATGGAAACATGTTATAAATACTATTGAGAAATATAAATGACATGAAAATGAAAAGGTAGGTAATGGACCTAGAAGGAGAACCTGAACTTGGCTTAGAACTGGGAAATTTTGGATAGTTTTGTAGTAATCAGCAATGAAATCAACCATTATATGAGCTTGCTCTCTCAACTGCTCAGCGTCCATTGGCTTCAAATTCAAACCACTTCCTTCTTCTTCATGTTCCCTGTACGTAAAATTTCAAATACGAACCATATTGAATGAATGAATGTAAGAGATATAACAGTAGTAGTATAAGCATGATAGTATTGAGTTTGATCGATACTGACATTTGTTGGTAAAGACAAAATGGCGAATTCTGTTGTACTAGTTTTCACTATGTGAAGCTGAGAAGAGAAAAAGTACACCGGATAGGATCGAGTAGGAGATTCTCTTCCGTGGAAGTTCTCTCCTGTGGAATATGAATCAATTATTGAGGAGAGAGAGCGGGGCCAAAATATATTAGGAAAATATTGTTCATTGAATTTTGACGGTGTAGATCTGCACTTCTCCACCTCTAGTGTGTGTATATATATATTTGGTATTCACAAGTGCCGAGACTAACACCTCTTTGAATGAGTTTTAATTTTTGGTTTTAAAAATTATTTTGTAAATTAATTTATTTTTTTTAAGTTTTAAAGAAAAAAAAAATAAGAAAACATGTTTGGTTGTTATGGTTGAATCCATTTGATTTAGTATAGAACCAATAAATTAAGAATGCTATTATCCTCTTTTTAATAGAACGATTACATGTTGATATCTGGCCTAATGGGATATTCAGATATATAATCATCAGATGAGGAAAAGAATCTCCAAGTTAGCCAAAAGAATGATCCAACTCATCATATGTCATTCAACAATTAAGCTCAATATAATATTTATTTTATTTAATCAAATTAATAATTGATATAATAATTATATTTATTTAATAATTAAATAAATCCATAAAATTTAACATCTCCCACTTAAACTTACCTTCCTACTTGTTAAAATTTCATAAGGAGTCCTCAACACTGATTTGCTAGGCACCTGATTAAGAATGTAGATAGCGGTCTTTAAGGCATCACCCCAAAGAAAATCAGGCAATGAAGAATGACTCATAATGCATTTCACCGTGTCCACGAGTATGCAGTTACATCTCTTTGCAACTCTGTTCTGCTGAGGAACACCTGACATAGTGTATTGAGCCTCAATCTCACATTCATCTAGGAACCTAGCAAACGGTCCTGGATTTCTTCCAGTCTCATCATATCTAACATAATATTCTCTTCCTCTATCAGACCTCACACATTTAACCTTTTTTTCCTGGTTTGAATTCAATGGAAGCTTTAAAAGATTTGAAGGCATCCAATGAACTAGACTTGTCTTAGAGAAGTTCTACCCATCCAAATTTGGAGAAATCATCTATGAAAGTGATAAAGTACCTATATTCACCCATAACATTGGGTGTAATAGGTCCACACATGTGTGTGAATCAATTGCAACACATCCTCACATCTATTCGCTTTTGTACTCCTCGTTTTGACAATGAACTTTCCTTTGAGACAAACACTGCAAGTGTCAAAATCAGTGAAGTCAAGATTAAGAAGAATACCATCCTTAATTAGTCTTTCAATACGAGGCCTAGAAATGTGCCCTAAACGTCTATGTCATAACATCAAAGAACTCTCTTCCTTCCTATTGCGCTTAGTCCCAACAACAGAATTAACAAACATCTCATTCACATTCAACATATACAAACCATCACACAAATTTCCAAAACTAACAACAGCGGAGTTAAAACAAACATCTCATTGAACGTACATAAACTGCATCTTTTAAAATCAAAATGTGTCCTGAAGGTAAAAGTAATGAAACCACTCTCATCTTCACCACCGATACTCTAGCTTCATTTCCCAAAATAACCTTCGCCTTATCATCACTTGGTTTCCTTAGGATTCTGAACCCCTGCAAAGAACTCACGACATGAATAGTGGCACTGAGTCTAACCATTAAGTATTGGAAGGAAGACCTACTTTATTTGATTCAAAACATGCTAGAGCTAGAAGTGTACCTTGCTTTTCAAGTATCTTTTTCAAGATAAAAAAATCATATGCCTTATGTTCATACTTCTTGCAGTAATTGCGCTTTAGATATTGTGTTATCCTTTTTCCTTTCTTATCATCAAAATGGTGTTTTCCCTTGCAATTTTTTTTAATTGAAATCCTTTGTTATTGAGGTAGATGCAACAAACTGGACACTCTAAGCTTTTGCCTTCTTCATAGAATCTCCCTCCTGCGTTATTATGGCTATCATCTCATCCACATGTTATTCAACTTTTTGGGTATTATAGGAGGTCCTCATAACATCAAATTGAGGAGGCAAATACTCAAGAACCCTCTAAATTAAAGTACTCTCACTAATTTCAACTTTGATACCTTTTAGCTTATTATAATAGTGGATCAATTTCATAATATGCTCAAGCACACCACTAACATTGTCATACTTAGTTTTGTCAAACAGAGAAAGATACTCACACTTCTTAGCCTTATTAAAATGAGTGAACTTCTCACCAATAAACTTCAAATGATATTTATCACTCTAACTTCTAGGTATGCTTTGTCTAATGGATTTTTCCCTAGTGTAAGATATCACTATAAGACACACTCTATTAGAGTGTTCCCATTTTTCATAAAAAGACCTCTGAGCTTCAGTAGATGCGTCAGTAATAGCGTCAGGCTTTTTAATTCTCAGAGCCAAGTCAAGGTTGTCTATAGCCAAATAAAGGTCGAGAGACTCTTTCTAGTCCTCATAATTAATTCCATTCATAGTTTTTACAAAGTTAGGATAGGAGGCTATTATGAAAGAATAAGGAATAATTAAGTGAACAATTATGTAATACAGAAAATGATTCCACATATACCAACTAAATATTTCCCTAATAAGCTCATTATGATCTTACATTAGAAGTACAATAATAAATAGAAACTTATATTATCAAAATTTTAATATCGATAAGATACTTGAACGTGATAAAATAAGCCTAAATGCCAACAATATTTTGTATCATATGTGTTATTATTAATATAACACAAATACAATTACTAATAGATATTATTTGTAACACCCCATACATATACAATAGAATAATATGTAGTGATGTTATACTATGGTACATAGAAACATACAAAAGCTAAAGATGACATAATTCAAATCATATACATCTCAAAAATCAAAATTAAGGGTGTATACAACATATATGTCTTCAAGAAATGCACAACGAAAAGAAAAGATCTGATAAGGTCCTTATGCCAATCTGCCCATCCAAGTCTTTCATCCGGACCTTCTAGCAATTCTTCACTTTTAAGAGACACCTGAAAAATGATAATAGGATTGGGGTGAGATTACTAAATCTCAGTACATGCATCAATACTGATCCACCATTAATCTGAGGTTTCCTCACTGTCAAGTACATGAATACTCAATCATCACATACCATCCCAAGTGGGAGTCCCTTAACCACCCCATTGGGAATCAATAAGAAAATAATAGAACAATACAACCCAGTATGCAAACCCATACCAATGTACGGGAAATCCAGAAGTAGCTCATGCCTTCCGACCAAGGCCACACAAGGACACCTTCCGACCAAGGCCACACAACGACACCCTCGATGAGTATCCAGAAGTAGCTCATGCCTTCCGACCAAGGCCATACAATGACACCCTCGATGAGTAACCAAGTGCCTAAAATTAAGAGACTTGCACAAGCATACAAAGCATACCCTCGATGAGCAACTAAGTGCCTAGCATTAAGAGACTTGTACAAGCACACAACACGATGAGTAGATGAGTTCACATCAGAACGAAGTCCTAAACAAAGTAGTTTACGCCTAAGTGGCTACACGACCCTATCTACGATGAGTAACGAAGTGACATTTCTTAAGTGGCATTACGAACCTATCAATCATCAATATGCGTGTTTGTTAACGTCAAGTGCAAATACGCGAGTCGTTTACACGAGGGGAAGGTATTAGCACCTCTCACGTCCATCGTACTCGACGAGACCCACACTTTGTTGTCTATCTAAAAGAGTGTTTACTATCTACTCTAATGGTCTTAGGGACAAAAGAAAAGAAAAGAGACTCGATAGAGCATCACCGCTCTATGCCTACGTATTCCCTCGTGCAATGGGAAAGTCAGAGTCAACGTAGTCCGACAAACTACGGGTGAAAAGGGGGAAGGTTGCTCACCGAGACATCGTCGTCTCGTGCCTACTTATTCTCATCTGGTATGAGAAATCAGAGCAAACATAGTTAGGTCTCAAAAGAACACCGGTTGGTTCAAAATGTTTTACCCGAGTAGGGTTAAAACTTAGTTCTAGCAGTTAGGTGTATGCAACTCGACCATTGGAGACTTAGGCGTTACCTATTTGCGGTAGAACCAAGAGTTAACAAAACTCTCCTTATGAAAAAGGTTTTCCAAATTAAGATCCCGAAGGATAAAAGATTTGAAGTTTGTTTTTGTGTTTTTTAGAGAAGAAGTGCATTGATTATTGTTTGTAATTCATGTTGCACTAAAGACTATGACCTAGGAGCGAATGCGTCGCATATCGTCCAAAGGACATACGCTAAACACTCTAGATAATTGAGAGGAGGCCCCCCAATCACCATTTCACAGGTACTTAAGGCTCGTAAGTACAATAATCCTTAACCTTTATTATGTGTTTTGAGAGTGTTTTGAGATGAGAAGAGAAAGATACTCTAAAGGGAGACTAAGACTCAACCTAGTGTTCTCATACAAAGTGCACCTATGATTGAGATAAAAGAGAATGCGACCTAATTTCATCATGCATGGGTTCAAGCCTAAGGTATATCATAATCTCAAGAGATTAGAGGTCCTAAGGGAACATGGCAAAGAAGAAAGAAGAAGAAGAAGGAAAAATGAAATAAGAAAGAAGCAAGGATGCATACATGCCATGCAACACACATGCAAAGGGAGGAAAATGTGTGGGGTAAACACCTCCACAAGCACATCTCAACCTTTATTAATGCAATAAAGAAATTCAAAAGCAAAGAAGAAAGCAATCCAAAAGAAATCACACAATTGCACACAAAGGTGGGATGAACATGGGAGAATAAATCCTACAACCATTTGTCATCAACCACAATGCCCAAAGGAAAACCAAAAGAAAGGAGAAGAGGACATAAAGCAAAGTGAGGATGGGAGATGAAATGAGAACAACAAGGAACTCATAAAGGTTACTCAACCATAAGCATCACCAAAGTTATGCAAGCAAAAACACAAAAGGGTC